ATCCATCCATCTATCCATCTATCCATCCATCCATCTATCCATCCATCCATCCATCTATCTATCCATCTATCCATCCATCTATCTATCCATCCATCTATCCATCCATCTTTCTATCTCTCCATCTATCCATCCATCTATCCATCTATCTATCTATCCATCTATCCATCCATCCATCCATCTAATAGGAAACAGAACAGCAGAGAGATGAAGAGGGGGCTCAAATGACAGGATTTAATTACACAGATGTAATGTCTGCATAATGAAGGAAAGGTAAACACGGGACTCTTTCATATTCCAGGTCCTTCAGAGAGTGGAGGGATCAATAACACATCCAAAATGCAAACTATGCATGATTAAAAAGGGACAAAAAGTAGTGCCAACAAAACCTGATTTAAGGGAAGAAGAAAGGTTAGGTGAGGGTCAATTATTTAAGTGGGAATGTTATATTCCTGTTCTGAGAGCAGAGAAAAGCTCCCAGAAAAACAAACCGTCTGACTTTACCTGCACTTCGTTGTTTCGCTGTCTGATGGCGTCCTCTTTCTCCTTGATCTCCTCTTCCACGGTGATCTTCTCCCTGGGGGTCCAGCACAACAGACACGAGTATTTAGCCACCAAGGACAGAGAGGGTACACCCGGTACTCCGAGCCCCAGCCACTTCTCCACCGAGCCGTCTCTACCCTGCCCCTGAACCACCACCACCACTTCCTCCCCTTCAACCACCATGATGTCCTGAAAGATAAACTCCTCAGCACACAGAGAGAGAGCCGCCTGACTGTCTGCAGCTACAGCAGGTCTGTGTGAGGGAAGGTGGTGTGTGTGTGGCGCTGTATGCGAGAGTTTTGCTGAAAGTGAGAATGTGCTAGTTCAGTGAAATGTGTGGGAGATGAGGAGTGAGAGGCAGATGGATGCCTGGAGGATGGGAGGATGGGAGGAGGGATGATGAGCCAACCTACAACATCCATCACTTGTGCCGCCCTGTGTTTATCCTGGCTAATTCACTCCACCCGGGAGACAGGAAATGGAGCGAGGAGGAGTATTGACTTTTGTGCAATTAATAAATGTTTATTTTATGTTCTGCTATAGCTATGCTTTAGAAGGCACCAAAAACACGGTACTTTGTGCAGTCAGGGGTTTGTACTGAAGTCATTAAACCTGATTGATCACGACTGATATACATTATTAAAGCATGCAGGAAGATGGATGGTACTCGTGTTATTAATGACACATTAGTATGGAGGTTCAAACTGCACCAGATCTGGAGTTCCTACATTTTATTCACACACTTTTCTAATGTTTTTTTACAAATGTTATTTTCGTACCAAACTAATATTCAGATCACATACAATCTCAAAGTTTCCTTTTTTGCAAACCTCACCTTACATTATCAAATATAGTATAATTTAATAAAGAAATAGATGGATACAAACAAATGGAAATATTCTTCTATTTTGTATTTGTATTTATTTATAGAAGGACCATGCATACAAAAACATTCATCTCAGCAAAGAGAAGAGATGCAATATGCCAGATTATAGCTAGTAGCTAATTTCCATCTGTGGTCCTCAGGCAGGTTCATAACAATCAATAAACAAATAATAACATTGCATGATCTCTGTCAGTCAAACAACATTTAGCCTTATACATAAGTACATCTGTCCACTTCTGCACTAAAATGTATTTTTACATTTTATAAAAAAAATTCTCCACCTTTCTCATCCTCCTCTCTAATATTTTTAACTCAGATTTTGTTTTAACATTATTGAAAAACTACTCTTAAGTGTCTTATTGTAGGTTTAACAAATGAGCTTTACCCATTGTAAATATTGGAAAATACCCTCCTAATAATACTAAACCAACCCGTTTATGCAAATGAGCAGGTGTATATATATTCAGCAGGAACTTAAGCTGAACACTTTGATACCCATCACAGATTTTAAAATAATTTAAACAAAGCTTGAGAAATCATCTGTGGGCGTTTGCACCTGCACTATCCGACTACTTTTTAAGATGTTTTATTTGATTGTTGCCTCTGTGTTAAGTGTCCTGTCTGCCTGTAACTTTGTGTGGTAGTGTTACCACTGAA